CGCAATCCCAATGGATACAAACCCCTTCCCATTCACTCCCATTGTACACAATCCCAATGGACCCAAACCTCTTCCCATTCACTCCCATTGTACGCAATCCCAATGGATCCAAACCTCTTCCCATTCACTCCCATTGTATGCAATCCCAATGGATCCAAACCTCTTCCCATTCACTCCCATTGTACGCAATCCCAATGGATACAAACCCCTTCCCATTCACTCCCATTGTACGCAATCCCAATGGATACAAACCCCTTCCCATTCACTCCCATTGTACACAATCCCAATGGACCCAAACCTCTTCCCATTCACTCCCATTGTACGCAATCCCAATGGATCCAAACCCCTTCCCATTCACTCCCATTGTACATAATCCCAATGGATCAAACCCCTTCCCATTCACTCCCATTGTACACAATCCCAATGGATCAAACCCCTGCCCATTCACTCCCATTGTACATAATCCCAATGGATCAAACCCCTTCCCATTCACCCCATTGTACACAATCCCAATGGATCCAAACCCTTTCCCATTCACCCCATTGTTCACATTCCCAATGGATCTATACCCTTTCCCATTCATTCCCATTGTACACAATTCTAATGGATCCAAACCCCTTCCTGTTCATTCCCATTGTACACATTCCCAATGGATCAATCTCTTTCCCGTTGCAGATATCTGCAAGGGGTGACAATCGGAAGTGGGAGTCTGTGGGGAATCCAAAGTGCAAAAGGCGACAAATGGCACTGGGGTGTAGTGGGGAGGTAAAATCGGAGCGGGTTGGGGTATCAAATCTCATTTTACAAAATGATGGAATCCTTGGGCATTACCCCACATCAGGGCAGTATGTTCTTTAAACGTCTGTAGTCCAGGTGGGATTACGATGGGATGTAAACACGGGTGGATAGGGGGGGTTGCATAGAGAGTCACGGGAATTGGGAGAGAGCGGAGCGGGGGGGCTTGGGGGCTCTCTCTGGTTGATTCCCGACTAACCCCCAGCCTCCCGCTGTCCACGGGACCTCCTCCAGTACTGGTTGTAGGCTTCCTCGAACATGGGTTGGCAGGGAAGGCACGCCCTCAGCTTCGAGCAGATCAGGAAGGTGCCCGCCATCTTGCGGTGAAGCGAGTACGTCTCCTCAGGGGGCGGGGTGAGGCGGTGGTGGAGCATGATGGGAAGGATGTCATGGATGCGCCACGTGGTGGTCTGGGAACCGAAGTCGAAGGGCTCAGACGAGGAGAAGGCCTCACCCAGGATCATCACCGCCTCAATGTGGGCTTCCTTCATGACCTGTTGGCAGAGGTTCACAGACAATACTGAGCTCCGACTGGCCCATCCCATGGCCCACCCCTCCGGAACACCCAGTACACAACTTGGTCCAAGTCACCATTTCCCCAACGCAACCCGGGATCAGATCCCGATCTGACTCCACCTCTGATCCGGACCTGGAATGAACCGACACCAGATTTGCTCTGGATCTGATTCTCCAGCTCCTGGGTCCATCCTCCATGAGCTTCCCTCCGAGACCCTGGGATAGTAAGAGCTGCCGATGCTGGAGTCAGGGATAACGCAGCGTGGGGCTGGAGGGACACAGCAGGCCAAGCAGCACCGGAGGAGCAGGAACGTTTCGGGTCGGGACCCTTCTTCAGAAAATGGGGAAGCTCCCTCCCCCACCCCCCTCCCCTCG